ATCCTAAAGGTACTAATAAGTATCAAAAACTTGGATGAGTAATGTTTTGAAAATGTTCTTATAATACAAGATAGATTTTATATGCAGAAAGTTTAAACAAACAAGACTTCTAACTGATTTGCAGATATGACATCTAATATAAAACTTATATAGTAATGTATAAGCAAACTACTTAAATTAAGCACTAAAAGTGCACATGTGACTAGTTGTAATCTCTGATGTAAGAGTACCTCTAGAGGCAATCTGTGTCCTATAAACTTAAATAAAAATATCATATTTTGAAGAACTTTAATTTAAAAAAAAAAAACTATTTTAAAAAGATTAGTAAAATCAAAAGGTAAAGAAATTAAGAAAACAAGTTACTTTTATATTTTTTAGCTAAAAAAAGTCAATTTCATTGTCATCAGATTTATTATTTAACATGTAAGTAAATAAACTTTGTTTTATTATTTATATTTAAAATAAACTATTATATGTTAACTAAACTGTTACATATAAAATAAACTATTTTATAATATATTGATTCAAATAATATTTTAACTAGCTTCAATATTCATGTCATCTTTATTATAAATAATTTATATACTATTATACTATTATACTATTACATACTATATCAATATATATAAAATGTAAAAACAGCATTTGATATAAAATTTAATTGTCATATAACACTATAATTAAATATATTAAATATCACTTTAACTCTAAAATCTGCTTACTTTAGAGGTTCATTTATACGAAATTATACGATCAAAATTTGTTATTCATGCTATAAATTCCACGATTTCCGTGATTTTTTTTGAAATTATGCTATACATTTTGTGAATTATGCAGTTAACCCTTTAAAAAAAAATCAGTTTCTTTCCTAGGAACATATTCGTGCTTTTGGATTGCTGATATCTACGCCAGAATCTTCCGTGTTCTCATCAAATTATTATACAGTACAGACAACAAATAAAAAAATTTTTAGAGGCAAAATTCAGATTTTATTTTTTATATATATAATGACGATTAAAATATTAAAATTAGCTAAAATTTCAAATTGGCCCATATAAATTTAATATCTTGGTTTTCATATATGAAACCTTTTGAACAGACCTGGTCGACTTTTTTTTAAAAAAAAATTCTTATATAAATTTTTGTAAAAATTTCTTTAAAATCCCACCTGGTTATTAAAACATAAAAAAATTTTTCACAAGCTTTCAAATTTGACCCAACCGGGTTATGAAAACCAATTAATTAATTTTGTATGGCCTTATATATATAATAGTCAAATTTTAAAATTTTAATATATACACAAAAGTAAAACAATAATTTAAAGTGACCAAATTTGATTTCTTTCATATATCTAAAAGGTGGTCAAATTTCATGTTTAATTATAAAACTACTATAACTTTATTAACTTGCTATAACGATTTTATAAATCAATTTAAAAAAAATTAAGGACATGATTTAACATTTTAATATAATATTTTGTACTTACTAATTTTTTTTTTGAAGAAGGATTAGCAATTTAAATTTTATTAATTTTATTTGTCGGGACTAGGTTGCACTGTAAATTAGCAAACCCCCTATGTAGATCCCGTTAAGGTGAAATCTTAACCCAGATTAATAGCAAAATCTAACGCTAATCTAGCAGCGAAATTTTTTAGGTTGGTAACGCTAAGTAAGACAGTTTTATTTTCCTGACGAGTTAGCTCGCATTAAGATGTTAGCTTTAATTTCAGTAAATTTTTGTCGGAAAAGTGATTGTTGGGAAATTCATTTACACCGATAAATAAATTAGAAATTTGGAATACATATATATTTATTTATCCTGGACTTTGGTTTCATTTGTATTTATATGAGTGCCACCAAGGAAAAATCTGCAAGTCTTATTTAATAAGATTTGCAAGGGATCCCTTGGCGGCACTTATATATCAATAATGCAGGCCCTGGTGGTTAATCAGTGAAGAGTTATTACGTTGTAAATATTAAAAAGCTGTTAAGTACGGCGTAGCTCAATGATCTTATGAAAGAATGAACTCAATTCAGATGTTTTAAGAAACCCCATATTTTTGGATTTATATCAATTAAAATTTTTAAAAAAAACATCTTAGGGGATATCGTTTCGAGAGAGTAATTTTACTTATATTATATTTGCTCTAACCATAATCTCAAACTAACCCTATGCCTAATTTGTATTACAATGAATTAGTAATATGTATTAATCTCGGTTGTTACCCTTATAATTGGTAATATACAGCGATGTTGACATACCTATAACCAGTGTTGTCACTGGAAGAAATAAAATCAATAGTGTCACAGGAACTATAAGTTCCATTGACACCAATGATTTTATTTCCAGTGACAACACTGCCTATAACGATTGACACAATTTAAACATTTTGGTTTCAAAGAGAGTTACATTATGACTATCATGAATTAGTGCTTTGAACGGGCCTGCAAACCAGAAACTAAAAGTTTCGAGTTCGGATTAAATTACGCATCATTATTATTGAGAAGCGTTGCAGGAAATTTTAAGTTGTCCTATTCGGAACTAATGCGAATTACTGACAAGTTCGAATTGTAACATCATAAGCCAGTTTAACCAAGTGACAACTCAAAATTCTTTATCCACTAATCAAAGGAAAGAGTAAATTTGATAACAAAGAGTGATTCATATTACAATGTTTGCGTATTATTCAATTTAGATAATTCCGATTCAATTCAAAGCATAACAATAACACCCTTGAGAGAATAATTACGTTTAAATTATATTATGAATATAATGAATTGTAAATTTACATATGTAATTTATAATTTACATTGTAACTTACGTCAAAATGTAGAAAATTACGCAATTTTGCCTAACCCTAATGAATTCTAAATTCTATTATTTCATTTCAAAATAAATTCTTACTCAAAAAAAATACAGTTATTTAGCCAATACATTAGAAGAACCATGATTTTTTTTTAGTTCCGAGACCTCATAGAATAAAAAGCCTTTTTACTCACAGTTACTTACTGATCAGCTATATACTAGAACTTTGAAGAAAGTTTCACGGGAAGTATCGGATGTTAATAATGTAACATGCAGTTATGATTGGTATTCCTATTGTGGAGAGTTAATAATGAAGAAAGTTTCGTTAAAAGAATAGTCAAATATACAGTACAGGATAATACGATAATGCAATATGGATTATTTTGAGTATTTAGCGTATCAGGATTCTAGTCAAAAAATATCAATTTAAATTTTTGCATTATAAATATGTTACGTAAGTGCAGACCAAATTTTAAATAACATGTATCGTAAATACTAATCCATAATTTTAAGTTCAGATTTTACGCACCGATTTGTCTTTTTATACGCCTTTCTTAACCTAAATATTAAATCATATGATTATGCGCAGTTATGGCACAACTACAATTATCATAATTATCATAATTATCATTTTTTGATCTAGATTATGCTTAATAATACTTAATATTGACTTAATCTTGACTTAATCTTGACTTAATATTGAATGTTATTTGCTACTCACAAAGTATTGAGCCTAGAATTATATAATCTCTTTTTTTCTTCTTTTTTTTTTTTTTTTTTTTTTTTTTTTTAACCTGTATGATTAAAGCCCATATGCATAAGTTTTACGTCTTTTAAAAAAAAAACGTAGAGATAAAATAAAATGATTATGTGAACAATAAGTGTAACTTACATACATATCATTGATAAAATATCATAATTCATAATAACGGGACTATGAAAAGAAAAGAACAATGGCACCATCTTAAAGTTTAAGCTCACAAGAATTCAAACAAGTATGGGCTAATTTGGTACGCGTGCATAGAAAAGATTGACAATTTTGACAGTGGTGTGATAAATCGTGACTAATTTCCTTTCTTGGAGACTTATAATTATTTGATCAACGATAAGATAAACTTTCGCGCATTATAACGATCCTTGCATATATGAATCTAATACGCGAAGGAGGTATCACGTTGCCATAAACTTCATGGTGTCAAGTAGCCGGCGATTTCCGAAATATTTGAATAATGCGGGAATCTTTTTACCAACTTTTTTTATCTGGTGTTATATAATTCATCTTTCATTAATACCATTACATAAGTATATAGCATGGTATGTATGATACATGATTACAATATAGGTACATGGTTGCAATATGACAACCTCTAAAAAGCACAGATGAAAAAAAAAGGTTACAATAAAGAAACTTCAAAAATTTTTGATTTTCACGAATCTTCTCATAAAGGACTCTTACTTCTAAAGCATTTAACAATAATCGAATGTTGAAAGTCAAAAGTCTAGACAAATGAACCCCAAATCTTTACATTTTGTTATAAAATATCCACCGTAACAGTAATCAACCGTTACCGATTAACGAAACGGTAAAGTCGATTTATCTAGGCTGAGTGAGATATCATGGCATTTATAAAACAATCGCAATCAAATACAAGATGAAAAAAAAGCATTTTTTTCAATTCCTTTCTTTTCATTGCATGTACACAGCATATTTAATGAATCCAATCATCAATAAACATCTTTCGAGATAAAATTTTTTTTAATGGCTGAAATTTCCAAATAAAATCAAAATCTAGCTATAAATTCTATAAAACTATTCGGGGATCTGATCTACAACATTGCCCCATGTTTTTTTTAGATTCATTTATATTATGCTAGATTTGTCACTAGTGCATCACCAATCTATATTCGTTTTTATCACATTGATTTGTTAGCCAAAGCGGCTCTTTTGTACCGATATTAAGTGTGAATGTCCGTACGTACATATATATATCGTAATACTAACAATGTAATCCTTGGTGTATGTCCACATGGTTCTGTGATATATCCCTAAAGTAGTATTATAACACATGTTGTTTGACCATGATTGTCATCCTTATGAAAAATTTAAAGCTGTGCTAAATCGTCGTCTTGTCTCTTGTCTTTGCGAGAAAAAAATTTTTTTTCTTGAAAAAATAGTTATCAAGATTATTTGTTGATGTTACGACCTCCTCCATCTGAGATTCTTTATGAAATTTTTAAACATTTTGAAAATGACCCAGATTATTTACATTCATGTGTTCTAGTTAATCGCGCTTGGTGCGCGAATGCTGTTCAAATATTATGGAATAAACCTTTTCATCTTTTACTTAGCAGAAATCTTGATTCTTCTCATTATTTAATTTCGACTTACTTATCCTGCTTAAGTCCTGATGAAAGACATAATCTTGATTTACTTACTTTTCCTCAAACTTACTCTCTTTCTTCTTCATTTTCTTTCATCATTTCTAAAAGTTATTCATCTCCAACTTTTAGTTATCCATCTTTCTTGAGACATCTTGCTTATTACCCTTTAGCAGCTTCTGTTCAAGATTGGTGTATTATTAATAATCTAAATACTTCCGAAAATAATCCTATAATGCAAAAAATTATACATGCTTTGTTTCGTTTATTTGCTAAATACTCTCCCGGTCTTGATTCTCTTTCATTCGTTATGGATATGGATATTGATATTAAACATGGTTTAAATTATTTTGATCTTAAATTAAATTATCATGTTTCAACTTTACGCGATCAAAGTGTTCGTAAATGGGTGGGTTCTGTTAAAGAAATCGAAGTTGCTGGTGATTTTGCTTATGATCAAGATTTTACAACATTAATGCAAATTTGTCGACATCTTAAAAAGGTGTTTATTCTCGTTATTATAATTATCATCATTATTATGTTATTATGGTCTGCTAATTACTTAACTAATTACTTAAAAAAAATTAAATCAATCATTGTCATTGATATTTTATGCATTTCATTTTTTTTGAATTTTTTATAGATGGAAGTCAGACTACCTGAATTCGAATATCGAGAAGACGATGATCATTATGACACCAGTGCTGTACTATCCGCTCGTTTTATTGAATCTCAATTCGAATTAAAACATTTCTGTTTACGCGAATGTCATTATCCTCAAGCTTTAGGAATCGCACTTTTACGTCAAAAAAACACATTACGTCACATAAAATTTCGTGATATAGTGTTTGATAAATCATGTCCATTAGATTGGTTACCAATTTGTCAAAATTTAGAAATTTTAGAATTTATTGATTCAGAAAGTTTGATACCTAACGTTTTGGATCCACTTAGATTAGCTCCACTTACTAACCTTAGGTCCATAACCTTTAAGGAAGATCCAGTACCAGCAGAAACTTTACAATCTTTAATTTTAGCCAGTCAACAAAATCTTGAAGAAATACTTTTTGGTTGGCCTGAAGATTGTAGACAAGAAGGTTATGCACAAATATTAAATTCTATCTCTATGAATTGTCCTAACCTTGTACGACTTGGAGCCATGATCGGATCAAATGAAATTGGTGAATTATTTGGAATTTTAAATAATTGCAAAAAATTAAAGACTTTATATATTTATGGTAATGGAAGATCTTTTGATCTTAACAATATTTTACCAGAAATTGGAAAATTTTTACCTAGTACTTTGATAGAATTAAATATTTCTGCTAGATGGAGATTTGGACCTGATAGTTTAAAACAATTTTTAAAAAATTGTTGTATATCTTTTGATAAACGAGAAAAGGCGGTTCCATTGAAAAGATTAGTTATAAGAATTTGTGATTTTATTAATGATGAACATCTTAGAATTTTAGTTAGACATTCCATGAAATCTTTAAAATTTATTACTTTATGGCATAAGAAATTCTTCGTTAATGAGGCTGGAATCGATAAAGCCAGTCAATGGTTGAGAAAATCAGTGATCTAAATAACCACCGAAATTGGTGTTTGGTATCACAACTATGTTAAAAGAGTCTATCTGAAGAAATTTATGCTGAAAAAAAAACAAAAAACAAACTATAGCTATAGTAATTATGCAAAATGATAAATAAGGTAAAAATAATATGATCAACTTATGTACGTATATATATATGTATATACACATATTACAGACTATACCATAAATAGGATTTATGTATGTATTATAGGCTATAATTACTTATATGGTAATTTAACATTTTAATCTTTAAAAGTATTTCGCGTTTGATTAGATAAGCTAGCAAATTTTTATTCGTAAATTTTATTTGTAAATTTTATTTCGTAAATTTATTTGTAACTTTTATTCGTAAATTTTATTCGTAAAACTTTATTCGTAAATTTTAAATTTTATTCGTAAAACAAAAAAAAAACCTTTTTTAAAAAAATTCAAGATTTATTTTAAATAAAAATACTGTACAGTCAACCGCACCTTTGGGCTTATTTAAGAAAATGTTCAATTTAAATTAAAAAATTCAGTTAGAGCTTTTAACTGTTTGATTCGACTTAGAGAGTTTACTATTTATAGAAAATTATCTATCATCACCCTCATAGGCAGAAGTTTGTCTGATTGGTTGTTATAATAAATTTTAACTTATTTTAGAATACGTACATACATATTTTTTGGGAACATAACGTTTCACAAACAGTCATCGCAAACACTCGCTATTAATAGCTTTGGAACAAAATATTCTATTTTTATTAGACCATAAGTTATCAAATAATGACCAGGTAATTTGGATCATTAAATTCATTCAGGTCATTTGCATATAAAATAATTTAATTGTTCGAATTGCTTATAAAAATTAACGAACATAGATTGTGTTTGGAGGCCAATTGTGATTGGTTAAAAGACCTTCTAAGTAGTTTAGGCTTGAAATGACCCAATGACTAGCATTTATCATTTGGGTCGCTTGAGCCATAGCTGTTGGAGCCACAGTTTGGCCATAGCTCGAGTCGTGACTTAAGCCGTGGCTCAAGCCATGGTTCAATGGGGTGCTCGATATACTATGTAAATCAAAACTATATGTGGTCACTTAATATTTTAAATAGTCAGTGATTTTTTTAGTGATTAGTTATTAAATATAGTTAAATATAGTTTATATATAAAAGCTTTGTTTTACTTTTTTAGATGCACGGGTTACATTTATTCTTTTACCAAAAAATTTTAATTACCAATTGGTTCGTTCTTACAATATCTACAAAGTTACAAGATTTATTTTTATATTATCTATGGTAAAAAATTTTTTTTCTAATCACTTTTATGTGCAAATCAATTTCTTCATTCACTTAAAAAATTTTTAAGTAGCAGGAGTTTTTTTTTGATAAAATATAAATTTGGCTTCATAACTTTGTTCTTTGGAACTTAACCTTGATTTGTGCAAAATTTGGGTTCATAAGAACTGGTTTTAAAATCTGTACATCTAAAATAATTTTAAAAACTTCTATTTCAAAGAACCATGGGTATTTACAAGTTATACAAGCACCGATTTCAATTAAAAAATGTCAATAAAATTCATCATGAAAAACGTAATAAGAATCTATTATTACAAGAACAATCTGCATCCTCTAACAAAGTATCCACCAATGAAGCAGTCACCAATGAAGTATCTACTAATGAAGCAGCAACCAATGAAGTATCCACCAATGAAGCAGCAACCAACGAAGTATTCATGGAACGTAATCGATTAACTTTAATAATGCACCAATTACCTGAAAAAGATATATTACCAGCGATCAATCTTATTTCAATAATGAAATATCCAAAAGGTTCAAATCTGGGAGACATAATTTCACCATATTTGCAAAGAAAAATGCATAATTAACTTACACAAACTCTTTATAAACATCAAATCAGTCATCAATACTTAAAGGAATCAAATACATTATTAGAAAAAAAAAATAAAAAGCTTCATCAAAAGAATACAGCTCTTGTTAGACAACTCAATTACTTGGAGCAAAAGCTTAACACCTCCAGGGTCAAAAATCGAATCATATTGCTGAAATCTGTTCTTTAGTTAGTCACTCAAAACAAATCACTAATGAAAATTTTCATGACAAAGTTAAATCAATTTTTAAATTAAATAATAAATCTTATTCTTCAAATACAGTATGGCTTGCAACAAACATTCTACAAGTAGGCCAAGCATCATTATGTTCTACTGCGAAATGTATGCAATTAATTTATGAATTCTTGACAGAGAACCCTCTCAAAATTTTTTATCAACATCTACTTTGCGTACTTGGCACCAAGACATTTCAGAGTTGTATTTTAGAAGACAAATTATTCAAATAATGAATGCACCTATATTTGGTGTAATGATAGATGAATCGATGCAGGAGCAAACCAAAAATGTAGTACTCTGTTACCAATTCTGGAGTAATGAAAATCAGTTGCTTATTGCAATGGCTGCCCAATTACAGAATGTTATAAAATGTAACACTGAAGTTATATCAGATATTGTAGTTATGCATATTCAAAAAAATGGATTAGATGTTAAAAAATGCAACCTTTGAGTAACGGACAATATCTTATACATGTCTGGAGATTAAAAAAGGAGCGATAGTCCTTTTTAATAAAAAAACTAATGGAAACTCTTTACGAATTGGCTGCGGTTTCCATATTATCCAAATTATTATGAATCATTTTGAACAAGAAGCCTTTGGCTTACTCTTAAACACTACAGGATTTTCATAAAAGCCATATGTTTATAATCTACTTTATCTTGCATAGAAATTACATGATGGATACGATTCTAGTAATAAAGACAAACCAATGAATATTAATTCACAAATAATCAAGGACTTGTATGATAGGTTATTAGGATATCACTATAACCAATACCAATTGCCACTTAGATCGCGTTGGAGTTATGAGTTAAAAACAGCTAAGCAATACCTTAATTGATATTTAGCGTATATTAAATTTACTCAATGGTTTATTACTGAAATGAAAAAGCACAAAATGCCAAAATCATATCTAAATGATTAGCATCTATTTCACTTATGGCTCAATGATCCTAAGTTGAACATTCAAATTAAATGTTTAGTTAATTTTGCTGAATATTTTTATGAACCAGTGTTACAATTTTTAGTTGGACATGATAAAATTCCTAGAATTTATCAGAATAATCAATTAAATGTTTTGCCTCCTGGTCAGCGAGCACACAAGATGCCTAACAAAGTTTACAAATAGAATAAGTATCTTGAAGATCTTGTTGATAACTTCGAAATGTTCTTTTCTGACGAGTTATTAGAAGCATTAGATAATTTAACTAGTGAAGAATTCAGAAGTTTTTTTAATGATTTGGAAAATGGAATCATCAAAACTTTAAAATATTTTAAAAAATGGTTATTACCATAGCTTTATTTATCTTTGGTTGTTTGTCATCTTGGAAGTAACAATGCCAGGTCATTTGCTTCTAGTTTTTACTATGCAGTTTTAGAGAAATCTTGGATTACACTACCAAATGATTTGGAGCTACAATTTGCAGAAGAATTGAAAACTGATATAAGAAATGGAATAACCGATACCTTTGAACTACATGAATTGCTATTGGAAAATAATAATTTTCTTAAAGAATTTAAAAAATTCTGTGTGAATGACAACTTACCAGTATATAATTTCCCTGAATTATATAATTTTATTAAAACCTGAATCTACTTTATAATTGTTCATCAACAGCAAGTGGAAGGTCTATTTAACAAGCTAGATCTAAAGACACATTCAAACATGACATTATCAGTTAAACAGTCTAAACTTCAATTGTCCTCAGGTAAAATTGAAAAAGAAAATTTATTAGAAGAATTAAAGGAGATAAGAGTGAATCGAAAGAAAACTCCTCTTCAAAAAACTCAAACATCGCTATTTGGACCCAATATTGCCACAAATCTTTTTAAAAATTTATTATGTTAATCATTAAAATAACTTTTAAATATATGCTTTGTAATTTATTACATTTATTACTTTAATAAATCACAATAATTCATATCGATATATTTTATTATATTATACAGCATTGGTTATACTGATACGTATTGATCAATTAACAATCAACTAGGTTACACAAAATCTTTTATATTAAATTTTTATATGATACCATATATAGTTTTGATTTACATAGTATATCGAGCACCCCAATGGTTCAAGCCATGGTTCCAATAGTTATACGCATTCTGCAGGTAGTACAAACCGTAGTACAAATCTATCCAATGAAATACAAGGGTTCACTCTTATTTGTGTGCCGGTAATACAACCCAAAAAAGGAAATTTGATTTTGTAAATAAACAAAGTGCGTAAAAACACAAATTTAGGTCAACACCGGAGGCTATAGCCATAGACTATTGCTCATTATATGTAAAATCTCGCTTCCGACATTTTTAATTAGTACGTCAAGGCCGATTTAATCACTAACTTTTGAGTTTTTTTATCACTTTTTCTTCTTTTACACGTATTCTGATTTTCTTTTTAGGAGTTTGTATTACCGGTACAAATAAGTAAAGCCCACTCTACCCAAGTGGTGTTTCACGAACGTATATGTAATAGTGTAGGAAAACCTACACTAGAAACGGACACCAATTTGTATTTTCTACGTGTCTGTCACCAGTCGTAAGCCTTCAAAGTTCAGCAAAATTTTCAGTTCCGGATCCGGTGACTTTGAAGACTTGCTACTGATGACAGGCACGTGGGAGATGCAAAGTGAAGCCTGTTTCTAGTGTGGTGTTTTCCACACCATCATACATATGATTCTTAGTTCGGGCAGCTTTCGTGAAATACTACTTTTGTGCCTACTAAAAATACCGATCCCAATCGGTTCTTTTTTTTTACGGAACACTATTGAAAACATGACACTCTAATAGCAGATTACGTATCGGTACGCTTGATGTAAAATTAAAGAGCCGCAGCTTAAGCTGAGCCATCGCTAAGCTTGGTTCTAAACTATAGCTCAAGCC